GGCTATACAGACAGCACTGCTCAGGTGCACTGCCAAGGACAGGTTAATGAATCGTCCTGGATTTCCCCATGCTCAGGTCTCCTTCAACACACACACCTCTGCTCAGCCCTGCAGTGGAGAACAGCTGCCCAGGATGCAGGGTGGATTGAAGGAGCAATTGCTATCCCTCAGCCCTGGGCCAAAAGCTCCCCATGGAACCAATGAGCTGGGAGAGTGGTTTGAGAGCAGGGCAGGAGGCAGCTGAGCACCTTGCATCAGCACCAAGGGCACTGAACATTTCAGCACTGCATCTCTATTTCATGTCTCGTGATTCTTGTGTTGAAAGAGTTTGATGACTTCCAAGAAATACCAAGCTGAGAAGCTTCTAAAACAACTGAACTGCCTTTTTAAGATGCACGTAGCTAATCCAGTCTTAAAACTAATGATTTAATTTACCTTAGGAGAAGCATGCCAGCATAAATGAGCATCTCCCAGTAGTATAGCAGAAGCATGTTTTATCTGGAGATTATGTTGATTAAATCATCAAGTGCCATAATCTTCTCTCTTCCTATTTCAAATAAGGCGGGGGGAGTGGGGGAAAGCCCTAAAAATATAGATATATCCTTCTGAGGCACAGCAGGGAGCTGCACAGCCATCTCCAAGCACTCTCCTTGCTCAGCAGAGCATGCAGGCAGGGCTCCCCATGCTGGAAGGAGCTGTTCTGGCTGTTATCAAGTGGGAAATGAATTCACTTGTTCGGGACTGGAGAGATGCCAGGAGATGCAGGCTGGAGGAGCTTAGAGGTGGCTCAGTTACACGAGACACACAGAGCTGCTGTTTGAAGCCACTGTGTCACCTGCTGACAGGAGGAGAGGATGGGTTTTCAGGCCACAGATACACCATGTTTGGATGCACGAGGTATTTAAGTCTCCAGAGCTGCTTCAGGGCAGCTCAGCATCCCCTCTGCCCTGCTCCTCGAGCAGTCACACTCCTTCATCCCCCCCTCCTTGGGACTGGCTCCACAGGACATAGGTTGTCCTTCTACACAGGGCTGCATGGTTTGGTGGGAGAGGCTGATGTCCTCAGCACAGCTGTACAGCTCCCTTCACCCGCCCTACAAATCTGCCTTCCTGACCCAGCTTTCAGTCTGCAAACATAACCGAGAAGTCAGACTGAGTTCTCGAGGCTATAAGTCTCCTCACAGGATGTAAGTCACGCAAGCTGCAAATTCAAGTGGCTTAGATACAGGGAGACAAAGCCTTAGCAGAGGGAAAAAAGCCAGAAGCCTGCTTTAAACTCCTTCCTCCCAGCTCTCATCTCCTCATTACTGCTTTTTCCTCCTTCTTGCTCAGCACTGAAGTAGAGAAGAAACCATCCACCCGGATGAATCAACAAAACCCACCTTGACACTCAGCCATCACCTGCAGATGGTGGGTTTTCAGACAAAGCCTTTTTCCTTTGGGACTCAATTGCAAACACTTCCCTGCAGCTTTCTGCCACGTCACCACACTTGGGCACTTCACCTGGAACGCCTTTGTCTGCTGGCTGTTTGTACTGCACACAGAGTGCTCCGAAGCCCTTGGGCAGGGCACTTCAGAAACAGAACACCTTTTATTTAAAGCCAATTCAAACCCGCAGCGTTGAGTTTGAAAGCTTCCCTGGAGAATGACAGAGGATCTTGTTAAGCTCACGGCAGAAGAGAAGGGGTCCAAGGCCAAAACAAATTGCTAGGACAGAAAGCTCCCTCTGAAAAAAGCAAACTCCAAGCATTGCTTATGCTGACCCCTGGCACAGACAACAGGTCTGCAGCAGGCTATCTGTATTTAACAAGGCCAAACCTCAACGTGAGCAATACTGACTCGCTCTCCCAGCCAGTCGTTACACAAGGCAGAGGCAAGGCTTATGAAATCAGTGGATTTCTGTGAAGAAGGGGTGCTTAACAGATGTAAGATGGGTTTGCTTACTTGGCTGAGGCAAACAGCAAGCTTCTGCCAGCAGTTCTGGATGTGGGCTGCAGCAGCCACGGTCACCCTGCCTTCGTTTCCCCATACACAGAATAATTATTCCACTGTTGTAAAAGCTTTGAGCCTTCAGAAGAGAGACTATCTAGCACACGGTCCTCCATAGCTGCTACACTGGCTCTGTTGCTAGGAAAATGTTGCCCACACAGTCCAACTTTCACTGTGCTAACATCCACTATTTGGTCCCTGTTGATGCCCAGAGAATATCAATGAATGTCAATGCTTCATCCACACTTCCACGTTTAATGCCATTCTGCCAGAGTGCCCCTCTGCTGCCATCTGTCACACAGCAACAAAAAAAATAATGGCATCTTGTGGGAAGGTTCAGCCTCTACTACCATACCACCAACATCTGCTTCTGATGGCATGGGCTGACATCATAAAAGAGGAGGCATTACTTTCAGAGCAGCCCTCAGATAACTGGAGCTCCATAAAACGATTCAAGTGGAAAACTCTAATTTCAGAACAATTACTCACGTCCTTCTGATGTCATTTTAAAGCAGGAATCACCTATTCTGACTCTCTCACTCACAAGCATTTCTGCCTTTCCAGATGTGAACAGCATCTCCCTTCTGGGCTTTGCATCTCTTTTAGTTCAATTAACACGGCTCCCCAAAGACTGAGCACTTTGGTATTTTAAATGCAACATCTCTGAACACACTAATGTCACTTGTCTCCTGCAGGACCCTTGTTCCAGACAGACCTGACACTTTGACAGCATCTTCACATTCATTTTCCCTGAGCAAACACTCTGTTACACCAAGTTTAATTTTTAGAATAGGCAGGAAATCTCTTCCTCTGAGTAAACATCAGATAAACATCTATACACTGCATGGAATTACATGTCAAGCCACTCGATAAAACCAACTTATCTGCCAGGAACAAGTTTGACAAATCTTCAGTACAGACGCCTTCCTCCCCTCCTTTAAATTGTACACAGAGTCCTCGAAATCCAGAGGAAAGGAGGGGTTTCCAAGTCATTGATCATCCTCCTTATCCCGCCAGCACCACATGCACTTGTGCTTAACCCCCACTGCTCAGACAGCTGTCTTTAGAAACAAGGATTTTGCGAATATATGGAGAGAGAAGCAGCACAAGGCGACACAGAGGTTGCTTTCCCTCCACCCTCCCAGAGCTTGCTGCAGCAGGAAGAACAGGAGCTGCCTGCAAACAACATCATTTCCATGTCTTCTACTCTCAAAATAGCAGACAGCCCTGCAGGCAGGACAGACCCAGGGAGCACACTTGCTGCCTTGGTGACACAAGCAGCCAAAGTCATGTCACTCTGCTGCTGCTCACTCACTGCAGCTCATTCCCTCCTAAGGAGAAAAGTCGGTCAGGGGACATGCTCCTTACTTCAATGCTCTCAACAGACCAGACTTATAAGTCCATAATTTTTTTTCTAACATATTCCCCTTCTCCTCAGGCTGGAGGCAGAAAACCTTCCCAGCACTCAGAGCCTCCAGACGTCAGGCAGCTTTCCATTCCTTTAGCTCCATGCTGCCACAGGCAGGAGGCAGAAAGCTGCTGGCCCTCAGCAAGATGGATTTAATTGTCTCTACCTCGTTAGTTCCAGACTGGAGGGAGAGATCCTCCTTTTAGCATCACCTTGCAGTCAGCTCATGCTCTGGTCCTCTCTGAGCCATATCACACACCCAATCCTCTCCTTGTGTTGACGTCCTTACAGCATTGTTACATACTTGACATCCTGTACTAGCAAACAGTTAATTATCCCCTGTGAGTTACCATCTGTCAGCTGATCACATTAACAGACCATTCTCATTTCCCCCACCCACTGCAAAGAAAAAAATGCTACTTTCTTGTGGCTCATGCCATTTTACTAAGGACAGACAACTAGCTTCTTATAGCCAACTACTAGAGGCCAGCTGATGAGTGGTGACTAATTACACAGAAGCCATCCAGTCACTTGTTCCAGGCTGAGCCTCATCCTGCCCAGCTGGACAGAGAAGAGGGTAAGCCTAGAGATGACACACTGAGAGGTGCAGAGCTCTGATGTAGCTGCCCTAACAGCCCGAGGACAGCTCAGCTAATGGAGCTGGAGGGAACTGCTTTCATCCTCAGCTCATCACTGCACTCCTGTGCCTCAGCTTCCCCAGCTGAGCGAGCACATACGCGTTCTCATTTACTTCTCTCTGTAGAAGCCTTTGAGATTTGCCTATCAAAAATATGGTATGGATAAAATCACTGCCAAGGCAGACAGCAGCAGGCTCTGGATGCTCTTCACAGCACTGACCATGCAGGAAGCAGGATGTTCTGGTGCTGACACGAGCTTCTGCCACCCTTTTTGCTCAGTAGCAATCAAGGCTGTCACAGCAACAGGAGACGGAGTAGAGAAATATTTCACTGGGATGCATTTGGTTGTTTTTTTAGCGGATTGACATAAGAATTCGTTTATAAATACGTCAAGAGCATGTCGGTGTGAAATTGGAAATGAGAGTGGATAACAGCACGGTGAGCAAAGTACGTGGGGTGAGGAGATGAAACACGCAGGTTAACCTGAACGAGTTGCAGACTGAGACCTGTGGGAAAACAGAATCTTAGCCCTAATCAACTCAATTGATTAAGCAATGGAAATCTTTGTCACTAATGCAAAACAGCATCGTGGCTGCGTGCCTTCGTGCTGTCACAGTCCCACTGAGCCTCAGCCTCTGCCTCCCCCTGGCAGCGTGTGGTGCACAGTGAGGCTGCAGCTGTCTGCTTTCCCCTTGGGAAGGGAGAGCACACCGTGCTGTGCCTGCAGCAGGCTTCCAGCATCACTGCCATCAGCCAAGCCACTGAGCAATATTAAGTAAAGAGAAGTGGCAGGGTTGTGCTGAGGATTGAGGTCTTCCCCAAAATCATTTAAGAGGTTCATTAAGCCAATCAACAGCACAAGAGCAGAACTGACACCAATAAGCCGCAGCGTTTCCAGCCACCTCAAAGGCCACAGCATTTATGGAATTATAGAATCACTGAGGTTGGAAACGACCTCTACAGTTACCAAGTTCCACCCCACCATGCCCACTGATCAAGTGCCACGTTCCCACAGTTCTGGAACACCTGCAAGAATGCTGACCCCATCACTCCCTGGGCAGCCTGTGCCACTGCATCACCACTCTGAGTAGAAACGTTTCTTAATATCCAACCTGAACCACCCCAGCACCACTTGAGGCCATTACCTCTCAGCCTAGCTGCCTCTTGTTGGCTTAACAGGAGAGTGGTGCCACCAGGGGCCAATCAAGTGTGACAGAGGGCAGCACAAAAACCAGCCCCATGAGAAGCAGGAGGCTTTCCACAGGCTCTGGTGATGCTGGTTGGGTTGAGCAGCAAGCAGGCAAAGCTCACCCTCACCACCCTTCCAGCACGTTGCCCTAATATTACAGCTGTAGGATCCTGAAAGAAAACTGCTCACTGGAGACCCCAAGGGAATAGGTGACAGCTAATCAAGCTCTATCAGATAAACAACAGCTGCATGTTTGTGATCATCTTCACAGCCTCTTGGAAGCACGCTCAGCTCACTGGAGTGAGTAGTACAGCAAGACAAGCAACAAACACAGTCACAGGAGCAGACCACGTCCTTGGTCATCAAGCACTCACCAAAGGCATCACATGCTGAAGTCACACTGAACCTGCTGGGCAACACACCGCACTCCTCCAGCATCAGACTTCATCTGAGGCACCACGTTGATTCAGCAAGGTGTTTGGTAACAGAAGGATACAAAAGCTGTAAAAATGCTCACTAATTAATTAAAGTAGCAACGCTTTGCAGTTGAAGAAAATAAGCAACAGTGTTGTAAGAAGGCACAGCATAGCAATATGATCCAAAGGTCTTCAGCACGCAGGTAGCAGAGGGTAGGCACATGCAGAAGATGCTGTAACACACCAGTCCAGATGCACGCTGCTCCCTATGGACATCAGAATATCAGCATTAAACAAACAACAATAGTTTTGAATTGTTTAAGGAAGAACACAACTAACGACCGAGGGAGGGCTGGTAACTCTGGAAAGTTTTGCCAAGCTATTTTATACAAAATGAGACTGAACCAATACTGCTGGAGTAACGTATCAGCACTACCACAGTGCACACAACCTGGGCCCAAAAATCCAAGCAAAACTTTTCTGCTATGTCTCATGCTCTTCAGGACACTCCTAAACCAAGGGCTTTAATAGTTCTAACGGGTGAAACTTCTACTATGACAGCAATCCCTTCTAATAGAACGTTTGCCTCCTGTGTTCATACCAAGTTTGTACAACCATAGTAACTGATTTACTGCTGTTAGTATTCAGTCTTTACACCACCCACTGCCTCCTGATATATGGGGTTCGGAACGCCGGTTCCCAAAAATGTCAAAATAAGCAAGCAAAAACCTTACGATGCAATTTTTAACACTGCTTTACATTTGCAGTCATTTTAATTAAAGATCATTAAGCTTTCATTACCTGACACAGGCATGAAATAAACAGGAGAGATTTGAAGGCAATCACTGTCAGAAGAATCCTAACTCAATAAAAGTAAGGAACGTTAATAAAGTGAAATGAAAAACACATGCCTCATCACTTTCTGTTCTGATATGTTTTCCTCTCAGGGTTTAGGATAGAGCGTGTGGATGAAGAATAGAATTAATTGAAAAATCACAAAGCAACCTCAGGCATAGTGGGCAACAGATGGTTTGCATGAGAGGCAAACTCAAGATTGATAAAATAACTCAAAGCAGTTTCTAGAGTGTTAAATCTATGGGTTCTGATGGCCTAAAAATGACCAGCTTGGACGTTTCAGATCCCAAGACTTAAGTAACTCTTCCTATAGTTCTGCTCAAAGCCTTGTTCACATGTTGAGAGCTTAGATGTCTACCTTGCTTCAAAATACACCGTTGAAAGTATATTGCATTTATCACAGAATGGCCTGGGTTGGAAGGGACCTCAAGGATCATCAAGCTTTATACACTTCAATACTTAAACGTTATCAAAATAGTGGAATTCTTTAACTGCACAAAACGTGGATTGAGACTTCCATTCATCCAGGACATCTGCTTTTGTCTCCTGGATACTTTAAAAAGCATATTACAATTTCATTCTTCAAATTGGACAAACAGAAACTAGGAGCAGCACACCACAAACACCCACATCTTCTCAATCGCTTTGTGTTGGCTCTGTTTGCTTCTGCAGAATAAGAATCCCAAAGGTGTCTCAAACCATTTTTTTTTTTCAGTTTTTTTTTCACAGTTATTCAGAAAGGTCACAACAATTTCTGGCTCTTTTAGATTTCGTTTTTGTAAGTGCTTCAGCAACGTGAAAAATTGCAAACACTCAGGGCTTTCATTGCTACATCACTCTGTATCCCTACAGACAAAGCACACGAGCTGAATAAGACAATTTCTTGGATCAGCATTCATCCTTGTAAAAACATTTCTGAAACTTTTCAGTGAGCATGATGTCAAAAAGTCACTGGAAGTTGGTTGGCTGATGTGGCTTCCTTTATATTTCAGTATCTAATGGCTGATCAAGTACTAAATAATGTGTTGGTTTTTCCCCAGCAGACACAGTCTGTTTCTCAGTGTAATGACAACAGTGCCAAACAGGAGCTACCAGCCAGCTACAGTTTAACCCTCAGAAAAATCTGTTATTGGCAGAAAGTTCACCCTTCTTTAAGAACCTTTATAGCCAGCAGTTAAAACCATCTCTTGAATTTACTTTAAACAAATAACGAGGATGAAATATTTTCATACCCACAAAGCCATTTCTGTTCACTGAAGATCTGGGTTTTTCAAAAGACTGATGTTAGACAAATAGCAGACAGACAAAAAAACCAAACATTTTCTTTTAGAAGTTAGGAAAGACTGTGCCCATCTCCTTGGGTAACTGGGCTTTTTCCAACCAGCAGGACATTCTCATTTCTGCCATTGACATCCACAACAAGGCACATCCTCACCACAGTGCATTTGGAGCATCCCTCAAGGATTCAAGAAATGTCTGCTGTCCTGAGTGCACAGTGAGGCACAGCATTTTTAGCATTTGCAGCCTGTGATGGCACAGGTTATTATATAGCAGCCTGCTTGGAAAAACAGGATACAATATTTGTTCACTTTTACAGACGAGCCAGACGGATTTTTCACAGTGATCAGTAAGAAAGACATCCATTTCATGAAAAGCTGAAATTATCAAGCAGCCTTAAAATGAAATACCTTCCATGCAGTAATTTAATATGAGCAAAAAGAGGGCTACAGGCCCACGCTCAAAAGCAGAAATTAAATTTCAAAAGGTAATTCAGGGGCAGTGGGGAAATAGGCAATGGGCAAAGGACAGGAGTTATTACAACCTTCATACAATCCTTTCTGAACATTCAAAATCAGTGTGAAAACAGCATGAGTTTGATGTCAAAGTGCTTGCAAACCAGACCCACGTTGCTCTGAATCAACACCAGGTTAGAGAAGGAAACAGTGCAACAGTCCCACAGGGGGTTGCTGCCAGGAGACCATTCAGATACTGATTTGGGAGTGAACTGAAGATGTTACCCCTCCCACTGCAAACCTTGCAACATCAGACCACAGCAATGGAAAGGCAGGTTTGGGACTGTGAGTGCAGCTGTTGTTTCCTCCCTCTTCTGCCTAAGGATAGGGAAGGTGAGCTGATGTTGATTCAGACTGAGCAGCAGTGATGAAGCTATAGAATCAAGCTTCTATGATGTGCACCAATATCACGCTGGCTCTAAGAGAACTGCTGCATTTCCAGCTTTCTACAAATCCCTTTGAAGACAACATTACAGAAAAAGAGACCATCTGCTGCTAGCAGGTCAGCAAGGTATCTTCCCAAAACTCCACCACGTTTTCAACTACTTCCCCCAGTGTGAGTGCTCATAACATGATGAAGGTAGGAAAAAAATCCTGCTATTTACTTAATGCTTTTTATTATAAGAACTATGATGATCACTTTAAGGCTTAGTGACAAATCCTGTTTAGTACATGATCACCTTATATAAAACCCTGTCATACACACAGAGAACGTTAAGTTATATTAAGTATGCTGTTAACTTGACAAAATACAGCCTGCTGCGTTCCACCTAACTCTGCAGCAAAGATGGCACATTTTTAAGGGTGGGAAACAGCAACGCCCTCCTTTTCCCACCAGAAGTCCAGATGTAGCTGAATTTTTAAACACAGCAAATATATGTGAGGTCCTTCAGCTGAAAACACAATGCATCAGCCCAGCCATAACACTCCACTCCAGATCCACGTACATACATCAGTTACTGGGATGTGACTGCCACCCAACTGCAGAAAGTAAAAGAGATTGAAATAGTCATTTAAAATACTCTATTTATCCAGATATGAAACAGGCTAGACTGATGCTGAACAAGAAGGCAGCTGAAAAGCAAAAACAAAATATAACTCACAAAGAAACAGAGAGGGAAAGGCAGAAATTACAACTTTTTGACCAGTAATCAAAAGGAGCACAGACTTGATTTGTACAGAAGCTGAAGATCAGACACTGATGTCAATGGGCTGTGTAGTTCCTGCCAATGAAGTCACACACAGTATTGGTGGTTTCAGCCATCAGGAAGACTGAGAAGAAGGAATGCCAGTCAGATCCCTGAACACCTCAGAAGGGTGTTAATACAGCTAATATCATCTCTTGAACATTTTACCTCTTGTGGTTTTGGAGGATAAATGCAGAAATCTAGCACTACATCCAGTAATTAGAACACCCTTCAAAGACAAACGTATGTATGGTGCTTTGGGGAAAGATGGTTTTAGGTGTATGCTAAAAGCACGTTAAGGTAGCTTTCCACTCTGTGCCACACTTATAGTCTTTGTATGTGCAAAGTCCAGTTAACCAAACCTTTGGTTTATCCTCATCTGCCTATTCCAGGGAATCTAGGTATAAGACATACTCTTTGCTTGTTCATTGAAAGGTTTTTTAATGTGAAGAGAAATGGATGCTTTGGATTAGCCATGTGTGACTGCTTAGCTATATTAAAATCGACTTGATTTTCAGCACTTGCTAAACTAATCAGACTTTCCCAAAAAAGCCTCAGCACTCAAGTCCTTAAGCAGTTCATCCAGTAAGCTGATGTTGTATACCAGATATTACAGATGCACTCCTCAGCTGCAGCTGAAAGTTGGCAGGATTCCTCTCCTTTTGCCTGACATTCTGAGCCTTGCAAGATATCAAAGCCAAAAAGAACAACCAACCTCAGGTCTTGACAAAGTTTCTTCCATTGGTCTGATTCAAAACACAAACATTAGGCTGTTTTCAACATACAAGTCCAATCTGTGCATCATGAAACAACGATGAAAAAAAGTATGATGCAAATCTTCTTAAATAGTCATCCAAAATAGATATTAAAAAAAAAAGCATACAGCAGCCTGACGCAAAGTCCAGGAATAGTCCAGGGCAGTGTTTGTGTATCACCAAGATTTCAGGACTACAGGGAATAATGTGGCCAGCCACAAACTGTCTCATAAGAGGTTATGACAGCATTTTCTGCTTCTAAGATGAGAGTGAACAGACTGCCATACCCCATTAGAGGTTTCTCTATTGGTTTTAATAATAAAAAAAAAAAAAACAAGGAAAAAAAAAAGGACCAAGGAAGAGCATACAGTCATGCAGCTGATCGCCGACGAATCACAAAAACACCTCGCTGCAGCTGTCCCAGATAGATTCTCATCTTTGTGCTGTCACTGGTTTTCCTCACCCAGATCTGCAGGGGAGAGAGATAAATAGGGGGAATAGATTAGGGGGAAAAAAAGGAAAAAATCCCATTTTAAGTAATATGCAGCCAAATATTTCAGATATTCTTACTGAGAGATCTGAACACCTCTGATATTCAGGATGCATGATGTTTTGGTTAATTCCCTTTCCCTTCCCACATTAGTTTTCTGCTAACACTTCTGACTTCATCACTTCAACTCTGCTCAAAACAGTCATCAAGAATAATTACTCTTCCCAAGCTTCATCAAGAAAGCAAAGTTTCCTTCTGCCACAGCTCTCACCAGAACCCTGGCATTAAGCCTTACCTAATCAAAAATAAGGCCCTCTAGATCCACAGATCATAAAAATCATCTATCCTGGGATTTGCTCAGACAAGTAACTATTAGTCAAGTGAAAAGCTTACTCAGATTCTGTTCAGTGAAGCATTTCTCACAATTTATTAAACAACTGTATCTGAAGATAAAAGGGCCTCTTTTAAAAATACCTGCATGGAAGGATTTGTATGGCTTGCAGACATACAGTGCATTTCAAAGGAAAAATTACTTTCTGCAGAAGCAACCTTTTAGTGAATTTTTATAAATGCAAATCATTTCTAAGACCCAAATAACAGAAGTTTGGACCCAAACAACGGCATTTTAAAAATGAAATCTGAACAAAATTCCTCTTTTATTATTGCATTTAAAATGATTACATATATTCATGGAAAATACAAGTTTTCCAGCTCCGAGTTATGAAGGACAGAAACCCAGTATTTCCCACTGCAAGGGGCTGTAAGGTCAGAAAGTAATTTATCTCAAACTGTTTTTCTAGATATCATTAGCTACAGGCCTAATAAGGTATATTGATTTAACTATTATTTTAATTATAATCTGACCTCACTAGAAAAGTCCTCAGTATAAAATAAATTGAATATTTGTCTGCATTTGCACTTCAGTTATTTCCCTGGAGAAATTAAAATCTACCTTCCCTGACAGTCATCCCTGTTGTGACATTCCCAGTGTTTGGTGGGCTTTTCTAACCAAAACAATTCATCCAGCTTCCAACTGAGTGCCTATACACAACAGTAAGCAGGTGCAGAGTTTCACATTCCATCAGAATACGATGGAATGGTACACTGCCTTATCAAAGCTAACTGCTTCTTTAAGCTTCATTTAGTAGGAAAAAGCAAAATCCATTTTCAGCAACCACAAGAGTAAAATTAGCCCTACAACGAGCCACACGATTAAAGAGAATAAAAGAGTTGAGACATTCTGAACTTAAAACTGATGGTTTAGACACAAAATGTATTCAGAAATCAGAAGAACATATCTATTAATTCTAAAGAACTGAAGGACAAGGTGAATAGAAAGAAACCGTGCTCTTCTCTTCTTTGATTCCTATATTGTAAAGGAAAACAAGCTTGCAAGGTTACATTACAACTTGCAATCAACTGAGCTTGTTGAATAAATCCCAGGAAAAAAACCTCCTCCTGCATCTACTGAAGAGGTTCTTGCTGTCAAAATGCAGAGGCTGAACTGTTCCATGAGTCTGGCCAATGACTCCCACCAATACAGAAATTTGACTCAGTTTCCAAGGAAACCACGTGGAATTCCTACTTATTTTAGGAAGGATCATCATAGCTGTGAGTGTTGGAGAGGCCCATAGTCAATTCCAGAATTCAAACCCAGTTTCAGAAAACTAATTTTGATCTTCATGTGAAGGAGGAGACTTGTGATACACTGTTAACTAATTCCTTCCTTTCTCCAGCCACGTGGAAGCCATTTTATGCCATATTATTATGTTTCTTAGTTAAGGCTTCTTACTTTGAAGTTTAAAGACATGTTGGTGGGGAGACAGTCTGCAAAAGCACCTTTAGTACAGCTCCTTTGAACTGAGCTGACTCTCATTACAAATGCTATCAAATTATGAATTGACTTCCAAGTACTATCAAATTATGACTGTAGTCTACCACTGGAGATCTCAAGTTGAGGTTTGCCTTCTTGCCTCTAACTCAGTGCAGGACTCTGTGAGACCATAGTTTGGCAGCTCCACTTGAATGAGCAACAAAAGCTGAGGTGCACAGAGCACTCCTAAGGACACATTCCCATTTCAGTATTCTGTTTCCATCTCTCTTGCTTTTGTAGTGTTGTGATGGCCCATTGCAAGAAAACTAACTGCCACGCCTTCTCCCCCCACCCCAAAAAAAAACCTACTGTCACTTTAAAGTGAAATACATGCAATATGAAACGCTGCATTTTCCTCAGGTTTCAGGTAAGCTGCTCCCAAAAGATTAAGAGTTTTATTGTTCTAAGTCAATAGTAATAACTTTAATCAAATTAGCAGTACTACGTTTGCTAACATGCTACTACCTCATCTCAGTAAACAGCCACTGAGCATAACTGCTATAGCAAGGAGAACAGTTGTGATACAAAGCATATCCCATATGCAACTCATTTTGTTAAAATGAAGTAGTTTCCCTTAACTGCTGAAACAAATTAAAGCTACTTTATTGCCTGATTGTAGAGAACTGCATTTGAGTCTATTGTTTCTTTTCCCAAAGTGCTAGGAATCTGAGCTCAAGAAATAAACTGCTCTCTTTGCCCAACTAACAGGCTGCTCAAACAGTCAGCTTACTTTGCAATGAGATTCACATCAATCTTCAGCACACATCTCTCTCTTCACCTGCTTCTCTAAGTCTTTATCATTAGCCAACAGGAAATTGCCTCTGACAAATGACTCACCCCCTCTATCTCCCATGTAGGTGATAAATGATGCCAGCACACTTTACAATATACATACTCAGGTTAACAGGAAGAATCTTCTCCCCTCAGAGGAACTAAATTTGGTGACAATGTTTGTCCTTATTTTCTCCTGGCAACCCAATGGGATTTACTTTTACTCTGCATTAATAGGAGCTGCATGTTCTTTTAGTAATGCAAATGGAACTTACCAATACAGCATCAAGGAGATGCAGCATGACAGCTCTTCTCACTCTTCTGCTTGCCAAACTACTACTTGCAAAATGTAGTATCATTCTTTAGAGACACAGGAAGCCCAAGAAGAGATGTCAATCCAGTGCCATCCTATATTCAACTTCTTTATACACTAAACAATGACATCTTTCCTGAAAGCAGTATATTCTCTTAGTCCCTAGCAAACAGCTGTCTACCTGCCTAAAGCAACCCACAGTTTTCCCCACTCCTGGAGCAAGGAGAAGCCCACTACCTCGTTGGCGCCCACAGAACTGATGACACAGCTGATCTTAGTGTTCTCTTTAGACTCCAGGTAAATGGCCTGGCTCTTGTGGTACCTGCAAAAATTAAAGAAAGACAGTACATGAAACCCTTAGCCATCCAGAGACTGCAGAAGTAAACAATAGTAAGATTGATAAAGTCAGGATTCTACAAGTATTTGGATAGAATAAATATGAAGTCATTTTTTTCTTTCCACACCACTTTCCCCATCTTTGCAACACAGCTGTGATCTGATCCTTCACACACACTTGGCATTTAAATGCAGCTTCAGAATGCATGAAGCTCTCTCACTTTGAATTCAATTCCCAAAGCAGATTACTTAAAACAGATTTCCTATCTGAAAGAGGCAGGGGCAGAGCACCAAGACACAAGATAAGACACACATTCACAATAAGCCCATGCTTCAATAGCTAGCCAAACTAGCCTTCCACACTTCAGACATGGGATGGATTTTAGACACCAACTCCCTATTACACCTGATAAAATCCCACAGAGCAAATTAGATATTCAAGGATTATTCACATTTCCTCCCCACCCCCCCCCAAAAAAAAGCCAAAACAGCAGTAGAACACTGGCACAACAACAGATCTGAAGTGTACTCAATCCAGCTGTGTAGTCTACTGTTTTAACAGACCTTAAATTCCTAACATCATCTTATTTTGTGAAATCATCACAAATTACATCAAAGTGATAGGTAACTGACTCTAAGAAGCGATACAGATCTGCAGTAAGTGTCTGAGCATATTTCTCACTTTTAGATCATATTTTAGTCATGCTGTATATTTTTTTTTCAGGGCCTTTGTATGAAAGGAAGTAAAAAGCCTTCAAAATTCCAAACCGAATTGCTTGGTTTCGTGGAGTTGCCTTCTTCACCTTCACCAGTTCCTGCTAAGTACTGCAAAGTGTGCTAGACAGAACTCCCAGCTTCTGCTCGTGTTGCTTTAGGAGAGTTCTGTAGGCAGCACCAGTTATAATGAAACCAATTGGCAAGTAAATTATCTTAATCAAGAAAGCACCAAAATGTTCCATAGAAATAAAAGCGTAATTGTATTTCCACCTTCACCCTAATCAAGATGTGCTTCATATTTGACATGGAAATCCAAGTTGCAGAATCAGCACAGATTCTTTCAGTAACTACTCAGTATGCAAATCCCCGCAGTCTGATTGGCTGCCAAAACACAGGCATTTGCATAGGCTTTACAGTTATTTCTACAACAACCATACTGTAAATATGGAAGTCGTCCAATAGCTTATTCCACAGTCTCTCTCTCTCTCCTGGCTCACATATTCTGAATTTTCTCATTTCCTCCAGTAACAGAAATGATAGCGTTGGCTTTCAGTGCTCCAGAGGTACTAATTACCAAAGAGCTGGGCAAGGTAATCACCAATCCAAATCCTGCAACTGTTCCGCACTTGTGCTCAACCATTATTCTTTCTCTCTCATTTTAACAGAAAGGATATCAGCAGTTCCAGGGCAATGCAAGAAGAGCAGTGACACAAGCCAAGAATGGCAGTTTATTGAGCCCAGAAGGCCATTAATTGATGTAAGGGAAACTGGATAAGCTATTCCAAACTAAACCTCACTGTGATAAGATAGGAATACCAGTCCAGCAGCATCCTAGCATGACATGCTGTGAGTGCTTAAGCAATGAGAATTGTTCATCTAGGTACAATCAGAGTGCAGAAGACACAGTGCAAATGAATACTCTGAGTGCAATCAGTGCAGGCACAGACACCAAAATGATTTTTCACTCAAAGCTTTCAATTATCGGTGAACTTCAAAGTCAACAGCTGCCCATCAGTAGATGTTAATTAACTACAGAAAAGGTAAGGTAATAAGTTAGTTTGAGAACTCAATGAAACAGAACTGAGCTGTCACATGTTCCATGCATGCAGGGATACATGTAAACAGAGGCAATCTGGTGAACCTCAGTAACTCTCAGCCTTTTGCTGAGTTTATGTACCTGCAGGGGAACAAAAGGGATAGAATTCAACAGGAAAAGAGCTGAGAAAAAATTGCAATGGAATTTAAGTTGGCTTTCAAGAGAAAAAGCGTCAAACATCTCTTGCTTCTGCAATACGAAAAACGTCCCACTGTGACAAGTGAGACAAGCAGAAATAATTTCACTTACTGCTACAAAATGCTTTGCTAAAAGGCTGAGATTTTCAACTCCAACAGAAGATTGAAAGAAATCACTGCATTGTCGTGTGCAGGCAGAGTTAAAAGCAAAGCAATTAGATGGTTGCTTTATTGTGAACCATAGTTTAGGATCTGGTGGAGAGTATGGAATAAACACAAGGACAAAAAACCTGAAAGTCTAATTCCACATACTGAAATTCCCTACACAAAGTCACTGCTTTGGAGATAGGTTTTTATAAATGTTTCTGCAAGCCCTTGGGGGCCATTACTACCTTTAACCATTCACTACTTGAAGATAATGGTCCTTTCATGGCTGCTTCAGGAAACAGAAAAAATAGCCACTCCTGAGCTCTCACATTTACTTCTGGAGCAGGTACACCAATTTCTGTTCTTCTTGTTATGCAATACCACAGTAATCTGCATGGGTAAAGATTCTAAAGAACTGTTTATTCATCTAAATATATGCTACAGGATAGTAGCTCTACACAAAAATAAAATTGAGAGCATCTGTGAAGTGACAAGTAGCCTGTTCATGTCTGGTTTATGCTTCAAGGAAGTTTAAGCTCCAGGCAGCAGCTTTCATCAGAGCTGCATACATTGAATCCTCAATGAAACTTCACAACCAGAAGACAAGCAAATGACCAATGCACAAGATAGCTGCTGCTTAGACAACAAATTCAAAACTTATTTTTAGTATGAAAATTACAACCTCATCTCATTATTTTAAGCCAACAGAGTAGGCTACAAATAAGCATGCTACTTGGAAATTGCTTTCTGCTTAGAAGTACTAGATTGCCTCCTTGATTATCTCGTTTTGCATGTCTCCGATTAAGACCTACTAATAAATTTTGCACAGAAATCTTATTTTCTTTCCATTTTGTGAGGCTTCCACAGCTAAACACCCATAAAACTTAAAGAGCTATATCCAATCAGCAATTCCAAAGCTGTCTCTCCTGCGTTGGATCTGATCTTTTAAGGCTATTAGGATTTGTTATTAGAAATATTTTTCATCGTGTTTATCTGGTGCACAACATTCCTTCTGCCACCTTGTGGAATGAAGACTTGTATTACAAAGCAGAGCACATGGACTGTGAACACTGCTGGCAACAGCTGTACCTGCAATCACTGAACTCCTGTATCTTAGCTGAGCAGCTTCAGTGCTCCACCAAACTGTAACCAATGGTGGCTCTCTTACATGAGATTAGATTTGAAAAACTGTTTCCCAAGTGTCACAGTGCAGAATTTCTTTTTTCTATGGAGACATTTTTAAGTCTTCAAGCTAGAAAGAAAGTCTATGAGGTCTGAACGCTCCATTATCACTTATTTATGAAAGCCATAATGATTAATTCTTGGAGGACAGAGCTAATGACTGCTCAAAAACGTTTCACCCCTGAATTCCTTAATAAAGCAATTTCTCTCCGCAGTCATTATCTCTTCACAAAACAAGATTCAGAATGATTAAAATAGAAATTCACCAGGACTTACCATCTTTTATCATAGTAGAGTTTTCCATCTTCTATCCGGGCCTCAAACCGCTGCGCTGGAGACTCTGCTGGTGTAGCTGGGAGGTGCTCAGGGGAGGAAGGAGAGGCTGAGTAGAGAGAAGAGACCATTTAAAGACTAGCATACATCCACCATTCAGCAATACATCTGACTGCAGAAACATTTAACACAGCCATGTTAAGCAGAAATAAGCACAGAAAGCTACAGACTCAAATTTCCTTTAGAAAGATACTTTCTTTCAGGATGACTAATTCAACCTTGGCCTCGCTTACATAAATTGTAACATTTACTAAATAGATCAAGCAACTGCAGTATGTATAGGTAGGTTGATAAACACTATGTCCTTGGTTTTGTTTTATTTCTAATTCAGAATGTACTAATAATATAGGGCCAGGATTACTTCAGCATGTTAGTACCACTATCTTGAAGTGTACAGATACACCTAGAGAGCTAAACCCACAAAACTGGAAATTCTCACTCCTCTACCTACTTTACAAAGACATAAGCTGTCCAGACACATATGAATAGAGAGAAAAATATCTTGCTACACAGCTAGATTGCCTCATGTTTTAAATTGCCCCACATTGCCCAAATGCTTCCGACACCTGAAGATACACATCGTTCCCTTCCCATCCCCAAACTTCGTAAGAGATTATGAGACTCCACAGGGCACCCATTAGCCACAGTAACTACACAAAGAACAGCAATTACACAGTCAAAACAATTACAGAGCCAAATTACACAGTCAAGACATCTACAGTATAACTCTGTTCAAAACAGCATGGTTGTGAACAAGTTCCAGTGCCACTGTTAACTCACCTGGTCTCTTGGGTGATTTAAGCTGCGTGGAAAGAGAACAGAGGAAGTGTTAGTGATCTGACAATGGCCAAGGATGTAATAACTTCAGATGTGGTCTTTCTTCCCATATTATAAATGGTTGGTTTCTTTTAATGTACAGGTAAGTAGAATAACAAAACCAGAAGACTATTCCATAAACAGCTAGAGGTGCAGATTGTCTCATAATACTAAAGGTCCAGAAACTGAACTTTTTCAGAGCACTCTGACTGTCCACCAAACCAAATCCATCCGACACGCTCCATTCTCTCACTATGATCCAACTGCTCTCAGGTTATGCCAAACACAGAATGTAGATCATTAGGCAAGACTTCTACAGCTGCCACAAAAGGCACGCACCATTAACATCATCAAAAGCCTTAATGAGCAGCCTCTAATACAAGAAATCACATAAGCCTTAAAGCAGTTAGCAAGAAAGCAGTGGGATAATCACATCTAGAAGAAATTGAACAATAAATATACACACTGTACCCTACCCCATTCACTGAAGTACTGCGAGATTAGGGAGAAAAAAGGAAAGCCCCCAAAGGCTTGGAACAGAGGCTGGGATCTCAAAGAAAACAGTGCTAACATCTGTTCAGCCATGCAGGGGAAGACAAAAACACAGTAAGATAGCTTATCACTTGGTTCTGACAAAAGGTAACATTGTTAGACAGCAGTCATTTTAATTAGGTTAATTAAACCTACCAAAATTGAAGGGAGGAGATACCCTCTTGCTAAATCTTATCTTGTGTCACTTCAGAAAGCCTACTGGGATGAAACAGCCCCACATCTCAAAAAGGAACATCGGACAGACAGCTCTGTTCTTTTCAAGAGAAAGAAATAAAACTCAAGCCATAATCCCTACCTTGTTTAGGGTTCTCAGGTCCTCCATTATTTGCTCATCCGTCAACAAGTAATTTAGCTGAGGTATCCAGAATTAAGGGTCTCTAAAGCTCTTGACAAGGCTAAAAAGTAAAGGTCAGTGATATTTCACTTCACTAAACATAAGCCACAAGGTTCCTGTGAAGTTGCATTGGATTTTAATAAGGGCATTATACTTTTTTATCATACAAATTAATGCAAGTCAACCCCCGCAAAGCCTCATATTTAGCAGCAAACACAACATCTCTTTAACTTATTCACTCAAAACCATCCATGAACAACCTTTAGCACACTGACATTTACTTGGTAGAGGCATCAAACAAGGAGCATTTTCAGTGTTTTTCAGCTTGCATTGCTGCAGAGAACAATCTGTGAGCTGAAACACAACAGACTTCCTTGAAATGTTGTAAAATTAAGCTGAATGCCACCAAAAAATTAAGTCAGCACTTCACAACTCAACAGGCAGGAATAAGGACAGGAACAAGAACAAAAATCCACAAAACCTTGAGAAAATCATCCTGAAAAAGCAGGAGGCATAGAACACACCCCCATGTGGATGAGGATGAAATAAGATCACACAGCTCAACTGAAAACAATCTCTGAAACCAAAATAAAATATCAGAACACAGAAATCAGTGTATTATAGAGCCCAACAGTCATTTTGCATAGCTTCACTGTCACACCTTCCTATTTTTCTTTTCTACCACTCCTTTTTCTGTGTCTATTCCACACAAGGAAAATCTCATAGCATATAATGAAAACAATGCTCAAAGCACTGCACCTTTTCCTATTTTTAATCTACAGCATTTCTTCACAACAGCTGTTAAGACAAAAATATTCAAACTGTTAGCACAATTACCAGGCTGCACGGTAAGGATTTTAATTCTGATGGACTGTAGCTGCTGTATTAAGTCATGTTTGTATTGAAACTTATTTCAGATCAGATATGGACACCAATACATATATTTTAGGAACAGTGAACAATCTCCAAGTAAAAAGAGGTCAGTAAAAACTGGAGATGTTTGTGACCATCCTGCATGAACCCTAGAAGTTCAGGGTTTGATACTGCCTTCAGAAAACATGAGTCACTCATGAGCTGCAAGATAAGTTTGTTAATCTGATCCAAGCAAAACAAGTTGGGAATCTAATAATAAACTCCTGCAGAGTGAATATCATTGCTTTCCTTTCCAGGTGAATTTAATTGACACAGAAAAAGGACCCATCACATATTTCCAGAAGCCAGGGAACGTTTTAATTACAAAAAACAATAAGGTAGGAGAGAAGGATTACCTACGTGTGGTTTTCTGTTTTTTGGTGTTATATAAAAATAAGATTTTTTAAAAAAAATCTAATTCAAAGCACAAATCTAGTTCCTTGCTTTTGCTATGCATTTTTCCACATTAGATATCTGAAGCCTTTATCAGAAATGGAAAACATAGCCTGATATGACAAATACGATCTTTCTGGCAAATGTTTTGTCACATCTTGAAATGAGAAAAGCTGTGGTTCATGGAAAAAGTCATTTCCTATCTACGGAATCAATCACCTCAGCATTTATGTATAACATCCTTTTAAAACTTCCCTTTGTGAAAAAAGTGCCAGAGGAACTCAAACTAGTCTCCATGACAAAAAAAACCCACCTACATTATTTCATGACACTATGGAGTTTAAGTTCTTATCTCCATAGATCAGCTGTACACTATTTGTTAATCACACAATATACATAACAAATTGTACTTGGGCATTCTCTACATTAAATCCTGATTCTAAGACCTCATATCTCTTTTTTCCTGTGTGCAACAACACTGATGCACCCTGCCTTGCAGGCAGCATGCTGACTTCAAATACAAAAGCCCTCCAATGATTCTGTAGGATATCAGGGGCAGGTTTCCTCCTCTTGTCTGGGATGGGAACTGGATCATTTGGTCGTCGCCTCAGTTTCCTTGTCATGATAGGCTTCACTTCCATAGAATCTGTAGAGAAATGAAGTTGGAGAGCTGATGGGGCCACAGGGATAAGAGTACAAATCAATAACTTTCTGCAGAGGGCACAAGGAAAATTATGTTTTTTCTTTCACTCAGAAAATAGGTTTTTCTCATGACAGCTTCTAGCATCCAAGCTGGAACTGCTGACAATGAATATGAGCTCTCTTTTATAATAGGTCACTGCTGAACAACAGTGTTGTGATGCCATGGTTACAGCTTTCATTGTCTCCAAGTGGCACAGCTGTTTGGGGTACTCAACAGCTCCCTTAGGTACAGATAACTGAAGCACAGCAATGCTATGATGGCTCAAGAAAAATTTCTCTCATGCTAACACCACCTATCTGCTTCTAAACAGATCGCTTAAAAGGAGTTATCTGCTAATAGAACTTGAATAGGTAGCAGCACCTAGCACATCAGCTCCAAATCAACCATTCTTTCTCACATCTTCAGGTTGGAACACTAAGCAATACAGTTACTGCATTCAAGATGGAGACTGACACATGGAGCTTCAAACACAAACAGGATTTTAACCCAGATGATCTGAAAAAAGTTTCAAATTATGATTTTAAAAGCAAACTTAATTATAAAATTCACAACAACCATTGTTAGGAAATAAGTTGTAGCTTAAGCACTGGGGAAAATAGTCTAAAATATTGAAATATCTCAGCAAGTCACCATCCCTGGAGGTGATAAGAAACATTTAGATGTTGTACTGAGGGACACGGTCTAGTGGGAAATATTGGTGGTAGGTGGACGATTGGACTGGCTGATCTTAGAGGTCTTTTCCAACCTTGGTGATTCTATGATTCTGGTGATTCATTCTCCACATTACAGTTTGTCTAAATGATTACAGGTGGTCTGAACTGCTCAACTTAACTCTCAAACTCTCACAGATAATTCCTTAATTTATGAAGATGCTTGAATTGGCAAGCAAGAGACCACATCCAAAATGCTAAACCCAACACACCACTGTGTTCCTTCTGTGTGCTGAAAACTATTTGTCTTTGAGTACATACAAATCACAACCTAAACAGCACTGATGTATATGAAGCTTCCATGGTTCCCTTTAGACACCACATGCTTGAGTAGCTCAGCACGTTGAAAACACAAAATTACTTTTCTCCCTACAAAGGGTGCAATAGGAAGAACATTTTGCATATTAAGGGAACAAACATTATGTGAAAGGATTTTTAAAAATAAAAATAAGTAAGAAATGAAGTGTCACTCACAACAGTACACCAAAGGAAGCTTTGTAATTCAAAGCTGAGTGCTTTGAATTACACTGCACATTAATAGCTCTGTGGACACCAAAATCATAAGCTACTGTGTTAATGGAAGCCACTTCCTGCCATTTGTGAAGACTGATTTACAAGAGCCTCAAAAAGAGGGGCTTGAAGCACTTAACTCAGGGTGCTGTGCAGCCATGCTGAGGCTTTTCCACCTTTTTTAAAAAGTTCTTTGAAATGAGCTGTCACAAAGCTGTTACTTGTACTCCTTAAAAGTTGAATATCAATTTATCCCAGCAACTTGTATATAAAATTGCAGCAAGTCAGCTGAAAGCTAGCACCACATCAACCTTCAGAGAAAAATACTTTGAAAGTCTTCCATTTGCAATGAAACACGTGAAGAGATGTGAGATTCTTGTGATTTGTGATAACTTCAAGCCATTTTCAAAGAGCTGCTAAAGTACCAACAGATTGCACCTGAAACACAAGCTTACATGAGCCTTAACAGGTGAGAACCACACAAGGCAGTGCTCCAGGAGGCAGCAACTACAATCTACAGAAACTGCAAGCAAGTCCTGATGCTCACAAACCAGCCTGCTACTTATCAGGTTGCCAACTTGCATTCTTGCACACAATGAGCTTCTCTATAGGTTTTAGAAATCACTGAGAGCACGCAGGTTCCATTGTGCTTCTTTCTCAGCCTGCAGTATGCATTCACGATGAATTCTGCTACTTCTAAAGGAATCAAATTGCATTTCTGCTGGTCTGGAAGGAGGGAGATAAGAGAGGCCTAGCACACACACACACAATGAATTGCTTCTCCACAGTTATTTACATGCCTTTTACCAGAGCTGTGCTTGATGAAATAGTTCATCTCTTCAGGACACACAACAGTGGGGAGAGATATCTCCCAGAGCAGAATTAATCTGGTCCTCAAATCAGACACATTACCCCTGAATACCTCTTTTTACACCTGCTCAGTCTCCCTTCCAGTCTGCAAATCCCAACCCTGACATTAACAGCTATCCTGTCTGCTGATGGAGACAATGGATTCCTTCAGATCCTTAGAACAGTGGTGTGCAGATTTATAAAAGCAAGATCCACTCAGACCTTGATCCCCTAATGAAGATCTACTTGCAAGATCAGCACTGTATGCCAGTGCTAATTAATGCTTCCTCATTAGCAGTGAGGAAGCACAGCCCAGACTAACAACAACAAAGTTAAGGCAAAGACACAGAGAGTTTTTAAGATCAGGCAAACCCATAAAAACAAATAAACAACCAGCACAAGGTGCTTTTCAGACCAGATCAGCCCTAATGGTTTGTACAATTCCACCAAACAGGTTTTATTTCCTGTTTCTGAGCACCATGGTTTCATACAATAAATTTGTCCATTTAATGCTCATTTTCCAGAGTCTGGACATAAATGCAGCTAACTGAAATCAATCTCTTTTATCAGGTTTAAGTAGCACATTTTAACCTTTGCTGTTTACCTTCCCTTTGCTTCTTAGCCATCTGCACTATTTAAAACCTGGTACCACTGGTCAGGTCAATACTGTGGCACCTCTCAATAGTTTTACTGCCACATTGCAGGAGCTTAAAGAAGTCCTTTTTGTCTGCAAATAGAGTAGGACATCATGAGAATACGGTTTCATATCAGCGTAATGAAAAAGTACAAACATATGGTAGGCATTCTCCAGAATTCTGTAACAAAAATGATTAAAATGCATTAGTTCCAACTGCCATCCCAACTGAAGGAAGTTATCATAGAATGGTAGAATCTTTTGAGTTGGAAGGGACCTTTAAATGTCACCTAGTCCAACTCCCCTGCAATGAATAGGGACACCTACTACTCAGTCAGGTGCTCAGAGCCCAATCCAGCCTGACCTTGAATGTCTCCAAGGAAGGGGCTTCAAATCACAAGGAAAGCCATGATATATACAATGAGTCAACTAAATAACTTTGTACAACCTAACGTAAGAAATACTGTTCTACAACACTATCTCAAAAATCTGTCTTAAAAAGAAGCTATGAATCTAAACACGAGTTTAACTTTCAGGAATGAGTCCAACCCAGCATCCAGCACAATTTTATCAAGTCTAGAAATCACAAGAACTCATAATCTGTTCTTTAGAAAGGAGAAAAAGTGAATAAGAAAGCTTCTGCACTCTGTTCCTTCGCTGACACTACCTTGGTTTACATGTTAACAATGCAGGTCACTGAATTTTATTATGAACTACATTCTCCACTTAAAGACCATCAACTTGTGTTCCACATCAGTTGACATTTAGGAAGTTTTAAAATCAAGCTGTCAGTATAAACCAGCAGGGTTTTTTTAAACTCTTTTTTTCTAAGCAGTAGCAAAGTGGGGAAGAAAAATAACTGATCTTGTTTTTACCTCCTGTTAATTCCATGGTTAACTTTTCATTCTCAATCATTTTCTTCTTCTCTTCCAACTCTGCAATCAAATTTTCCTTAAGCTCAATTTTCTTATCTTCAAACTCCTTTGCTGCTGCCTTCTTTTCCTTGACGTAATTTTTTTCCACCTGATCTGTCTAATGCAAATCAAAAGATAAAAGAGTTAGCTAAAGAACCAATATCTCAAGTCAATGATTTGGCAACACCTTCTATCAACTGCTATGCTTTCATCAGCTCTTCTGTTGAAAACTATAGCCACTTCTGCAGGTTATCAACATTTAAATAATACAACAGAAAACCACCTGAAATGACTAAGGAAGCAGAACTGTTATCAGCAAAAGAATTAATTCTTTTTAAACACACTTTAATGGTGCCTACCCTATCAAGTCTCTAACAGAGAGCTCTTCAGATTTATCATGTATCACCTTAAACAAGCTTTTTAAACAACCAAATGCACAAGTAGCACACAGCAATTCAAGAAAATGTGTATTTTTAATTTTCTTTTTAATGACAGCCTGGAAGTTACTGCAGGCAACATAACTGTATTCTGTACTTAACTGTAATAACACCAAAGGGGGAAACAAAAACTGAGAAAAAGTGCTGGTTGATGAAGCTGCAGGTTTAACCCCTTCTACCTCCTTAATATGTAATCTGATAAATTAAGAGTACTCACTTCCAGCTGGAGGAATAGTTCTGAAAGAAAAAGAAGACTCAACTTAATAACTTAATTCATGTTTTCTATAGCTATTCAATCACATTTGCAAACCTTACACAGCAGCAAACCATGCTTTTCAGCTCAGCTACTACTTCCATCAGTACCAAGTATATGGTCCATCCTTCTTCCAGTCATAAAAGTAAATCAATTCTACATACAAATTTTCCAGATAGAAGCTTGAAACACATAGCTGGATGTATAGTTGGCAAAAATTGACAGTTTAGAGCAGTACAACAAATTCCAGCAATGACTCATTCAGAAATAATATTGCAGCAGTTAGATTCATCTATTTAACACAAGTGCCTGATTTCAGGCTGCTTGCACCTGAGAAAACAGGCAAGAAAGCTGTTATATATCACTGAAGGTTAAGTTCTAACATATAGCACTATCTTAGTTCAAGTCAGACAGGATGAAGCCAATGGATTCCTGGGTGTAAAACAGCCCTACTGAGGTTTGTGCAATTCCTAATAATTTGAAATTAAGCAAGTCTGCATGCTTCTTGCGTTTCCTGGAGGACACACTGCACAGGAAATCTTTACTCAAGATAGCATCAAAGAAAGCAAACTAAGGCACCTGGTCAGTCCTTAAACCACCACGTTTCACCTTGGAAACATCTGAAATAGTGAAAACTGCTCTGAAACATACTGAAGCCTGCTATCACAGAATCACAGAATGGCCAGGTTGGAAGGGACGTCAAGGATCATGAATCTCCAACCCCTCTGCCACATGCAGAGCCACCAACCTCCCCATTTAATATTAGACTAGACCAGGCTATAGAAGCAGCCATGTCACTTTTTAAAGTGCTATAAAAGACAAGATAGATGCCCCAAATAAAAATTAAACCTTTTGTTTGCAACTTCTTCCCTAACTTCTCAGCAAGGAAGGCAGCCTGGTCTACTATTAAGCGTGGAGGTTTGTGGTCCTGCCTGTGGCAGGGGGACTGGAGATTCATGATCCTTGAGGTCCCTTTCAACCCAAGCCATTCTATGATTCTATGAATATCTCCATTATGGAGGTAATAATATACAGACAAATCTAAACTGTTGTATTAATATCTGAATTCTAAAAACAAAACAAAACCCCACGAAAGCAGAATGAAAAACCTCACTCAACGTGGGATGAACTAACACAAAAGCCCATTCCTGTAACAGTAGGCAGTCAGGTTTTTATCCCAATTCAAAACTAAGCACAATCCGCCCTCCTCTGGAAGAAAGGTGCTGATGCAACACCACTCCTTGCCAGCCAGGGATACAAGTTAGCAGTTAGTTTCAATTTTACAGCAACATCCCATTATCACTAGAATGCCACTCTAACATAAAATAATTGCATCTCAGAAGACAGATTCCTGCTTGCAAGAAGCAGCTCCATTTACTTAAATTCCTCAAGCAAATCCTTTACTACCCCAAAGTCTTTTAGAAGACAGCTAGCACTACTGAAAGGCTGCTGTACATTTGACATCATACAACTGCTCTGAATTATTTCACAGTATAATGTGATGTATCTGACCTTTCTATAAAAGGTCCTTGTTTCAGCATCTAAGATAAGAAACTACTGGAAAGAGAACAGGAAGGAAAACAAGGAAACAGATCTGATTTCCAAGCTGTCCCTCTGTGGTAACTCAGAGCTCTCAGGAGGGCAGAGCTAGGCACTTCAAAATGAACTTGGGCCCTTGCTTCTGAGATAGAGCCAGAAGATGTAGGCAGCCCATTCAGTGTCACAGCTGCATACAGTCACATTTGCAGCAGCAAATCCTCTATATTTGTTGTTCTCAAGCACAAAAAAGATTCCTGAGGAAGCATGCAGTCCTAAGGTGTCGGACAAGCTGCACAAAAGAACAAGCCAATGACTGCAGGCACAACGGCAGATACAAATCAAACACTTCCATTTGTGCTACTTCACACAAAGACTAGATATTTTATTGGTGTTTAGCAAACACTCTGCAAACAACACTGATGGAAGGGTGGGTGTTTTCAAGAAAGATTCCATCATGTTTCATAAACTCAATAACAACCACACCCCACCCTCAGAGCATGGAACCCTCTGCTCCAGCAAGTTCCTGTCTTCAGTGCAGAGTTACCTGCATGTTTCTTCTGGTGTTACAAAAATTGTAATGCAAAGGCATATGCAGCATCTTTGAAAGAAATACAGCTTACCAGCATTTCGTATCCTTTCTTTGTATTGCTGGTCCAACTTTTTCATTCTTTTCTGATATTCCTGAAGAGTACCTAAAAACAAGTTGTTGATTTCAATAGCAATTTAAATTTTTCTCTGTATTCAGTTTTCTTCCTGAAACACAAACACAAAGCTGCCCCCCTTCAAAACTTACCTTCCTGCAGCTGCTGCAATTGCCTCTTAAGAGATGCCAGTTTGTCCTGATACATCCTGCAAAGACAGAGACCTTTACATTGAATAATAGAATGGCCTGGGTTGAAAAGGACCACAACAATCATCTTGTTTCAACCCCCTGCTATGTGCAGGGTCGCCAACCACCAGACCAGGCTGCCCAGAGCCACATCCAGCCTGAACTTGAATGCCTCCATGGATGGGGCATCCACAGCCTCCTTGGGCAACAACTGAAAAACAAGTCAATATGATTTGTTTCACCATCTGCTTCAGTTACAGTGTGTTGAATTAAAAACTTTTTAGAAGAACTTCAGGAGGCAAACAAGTAAAAGATCCTACAAATGAGACATTATCACTGTCTAAACAATCTGCCAACTTATCAGTTTTATGATGCATTCAAGTCAATCATTTCCCTAAGAGATCAGCAAAAGCAAGACTTATTTCATTTATTTTAAATGTGGAAACCTATAATGACATCTAGATCTACAGACACCAGAAACTTTGCAATATAATCATTCTGCCACTTTATCAAGTCTCAATATTTGTGTATTACTTTCCTACTGATAAAACAGAAGGCGTTTTCTCACACAGATCTTAACATTCTGCATATACGTATATTTTACATCACATATAAAACTTTCCCCAGCACACACACCAAAAGAAAAAAAGCAAACCCAAAACTAAAACCAAAGTCTATTCCCAGTGCTGTTTTAGACTTGCATTTCCTTTCTCACGTATCTGTGGTTTAACATAGGCCAACTCTTCCTGACCTGTGTGAAAAACCACACAGTTACCAGTAAATGAACATAAAATGCTGCAAATACACCTTAATTGAAAATAAACTACCTCAAGTCTCCAAAAAGTTAATTCTCCCTGGACAAAATTGGCATTCAGTTGCTTAAGTAATTTTCACAGACATCTTGCTTTTTTGCTTGGCTTGTATCAAGTAGATTCCTTGTTTTCTTTAAAGGATCTGCCTGCAGAGGGATTCATCTGCAGCAAAACTGAGCTGCTGTGTGTTTCTTTGTTCAAAACATTGCTTTGCTTCATGAACTGAGAAAGTAACTGAGAAAAAATACAATTAGATGTGCTCATTAGCTATTACATTGAGCTACAGTTTTTTAACCCAAATCTTGGTCCAAAACACTGCAGAGCTTTATACAAAAATGAGACATCTGTCCCCCAGCCTCCCAAAAAGGGCAGCAAAAATGTAACCTCACTTTTTATTAGAATGGGCTACTTACTGTTCTTTCATTTCTACAAAGTCTTCCTCCTCATGTTTTGCCAGATCAGTCTCGCTAGCATCCTCAGTATCTAAATGAGGTAAAGAATAACTCATTAAAACTAAGCAGGATTAAAAGAACAGTAGTAAATTACTAAAAAATCCACACTTGGGCAAATGCACAAACAGACTGGCAACTGGAGAAATGAATTCAGAACTGACTTGAAACATCTCATCTCTTCCTTGACACCACAAGTTATCCCATGTAAGCCCACCAGCAGATTTACAACATATCTTCCACCAAGTTTAAGCAGGACTGACTTAAAATACTCCACTAATTTCTTTCCATTAGTCTCACAACCCTAAAGTGAGATGGTAACACAGTCTTAGGACCCTGAAGGACATTTCCCAAGCTTCTTATAGCTTCACCCAGGAAACAATGACTGAAGGAGCTCTGATTCAGAATGCCTCTGTATCTTGACCTGAAACACTGCAAATAGAGAGCACTATGAGTAGATGCTGTTATGGTTTACCACAGAGGTTGCACTTAAGAAAGCACATTTTTTGCTATAATCTGAAGTTGACTTCTCAGCTACACACTGAAATACTTTGTCATTCTCACAAAGCACAGACAAGTGCTAATACACAGATAGACCCAATCTTACACGCAGATAATTGAAACTATAGAATAAAGCAGTACAGCACTGCTAGCTTTCAGCTACTCCTTTGCAGCTCTTTTTTCTTGTGCAGCCAAGGGTGAATTCCCTTTCCCCTCTGAGGGGTCAGCTTCTCCAGGCTGGAGTTATGGTGGACAAGGTACAGCTGCACAGCCCAAACTACAGCTACATCACCCACATATGGACAAAGGCATCAGCCTTGAAAGAAAGACCTGTAAAAGGCTATGAACAAACACCTTAAACTTTATTTCTATAGTAAGAAAAAATTCAACACAGAGGTATAACTCAAGTTTTGACTAAAAGAGAAATATTTTGATAACCAAAAAGCCCTCCATACCTATTTTATTTGCACACTGCCACTGGCATCACGTATGCTGTCAGCTCTCATGGCGCCAACTCCTTGTTCAGAAGCACACAGACACAATGTGGCAGCAGAGCAGGGCTGACTTCCATCCAGTCTGACACTGCATACTATCAGAGGGTCGTTCCTCATCTCCCTTACTTGTCATTTTATGCAGCCTACATGCCAGGATACTCTGGATTTCACTTTGGCTTCCTTTTCTCCCTTGTTTTCATGGTCCCACTATAATGCCCTCTCTCTTCTAACACCTTTTTGGCCCCTAATTCTTACAGGTTCCACTCTTTGCCATACCTGACCTCCCGTCCTCCTTCACACTACAGAACCAAGAATGAGCTCCACACACCACACCTCTCCAGCATTTCTTATCCTACCGCCCCAATTACAACCCGGGACACCCAAAAATCCCACATCCTCTTCGCTCTCCTCATTCTGACTCTTCCCCACTCAAGAAAACCGCTCCAATTCCACCCCTCCAAACGTCTTTTTTTTTTATTTTTTATTCTTCCACAGGAAACTCCAGCGATCGGACGGACGAGCTGTTATTTCCGCAGCACGTTCCCGCAGCTCACAGCCCACCCCGCTTCTACCCACCTCCCAGGGAGCGCAGCGTTGGCCCGGCCCTCCTGGCCTCCCCCAGCCCCGCTCCAGCGCTACCCACCCTCATCGGAGTCTCGGGCCCGAGCGCTCCGCTCGCCATCCTCCTCCTCGGCGCTCTCCAGCTCCTCCTCCTCGTAATATTCGGGGCCGGGAGGCATGGCGGGGGCGGGTGCCCCGGGCGGGGCTGGAGCGGGCGGCGTAGCGGACACCAGCCCGGCCGCGCTCATCGCGGCGGGACGGGATAGGAACGGGACGCGGCTCCGCCGGGCGCTCTGGCAACAGCGCCAGGACCCCCGCGTCACTTCCGCTTCCGGTCGCCGGAGCCGCCGCCGGATGGACGCGCGGCGCTGCAGGCGAACGGGGCGGGCACCTAACAGGGGGCCTGATGGGTTGGGGGGCGCTGGGCGCGGTGGGTTGCCGAGGGGTCACGGGTTCGAGGCCCGGGCACGGCGTCACGCACTGAGACGCGGGTTCGAGCCCCGCGCACGGCAGCGCAATGCTCCGCGGGGGATGGAGACGTCGGACCTCTCGAGAGGCACGCTGTCACGTTCTGCCACCAGATGCTATCACCGACGTTAACAAAATGCCCAGCACTGTCCCTGCACAGTGGGAATGGGGGCTGCTCCAGTGCTCGCACAGCTTTCCTGATGCTTTCCTCCGTCTTCCTTGTTCCTCCATGCTTTCCTCAGACTACTCCCTGCCAATCAATCCCAGCTTTCCTAAGACAAGCGTCCAAACTCACTGCAAATGGTCACAGACAGGTTATTCTCCAGCAGAACGCTGCTACAATCTGAAGGACCCAGGTGTGGATCCTGCAGTGAGATTCACATGCAGGGACCACGTTAATTATGTGACCATAATGAGTGTGAAAAAGCCTCCTGCTGCTATTTCAGGCCAGGTGTTTCACTGTGCCCTTTCGCACAGCTGCACATCACCTGGGAGGCACTGACTGATCACGGCAGTGCCTTTAGCAGAGCTGTGCTGAATGCTCACCAGGACATTTCCCAAATGCACAGCTTGTTGACTTACTGAGACACTACAAACACCTAACCAAGGAGAAGGAAATAAAACAGAATTGGTTTTATCTAAGGAAGGACTAAACTCAAGATGACTGCAGTGCAGTTTAAAACTAGTTAACCCAGGGGGCACCAGGACATACCCTGTACTGAAAAGAACTGCAGTAGCACAGCACGTGCACTTAGCTTTTCAGTAGTTCATCCCAAAGATCTGTTTGCACTGACTAACAATTTTTAACTTGGAGCACCCACACAAAGCATGTATTAAACCTTTTAATGTAAGTAAATATTGCCTCTTAAAGGAGATGAGGCTGAGACGTGGCTAAACACCAGCGCTACTGCAAGCAGCTCCCAGATCTCAATGTCCCATTGGGGGGCACTCAGCTTGGCACACCAGTAAGTGTTGGAGCCACTCATCACCTCTTGCTGCCAATCACATCGGTGCCAGAGCCATCTGTGTGTGGACAAGCAATCCTTCCGCAGGGCTCTGCCTGATGCAGAAGAGCTGACAGGGCTGCAGGGTGAACAGGAAAGGGTGCGGTGGCTGCTGCTGCATCCCAGGAGCTGCACCGCTGGGGCCCTGCTTGGACTGCCCAAATCACTTCCCCATCTTCACACAGCTGCAGAATTAGAAACAGCACACTGGCTAAACCCCCAATTTATTTTCCATTTCCTTCCTGTATCTTTTCCATGTGTCCACACAGTTCACCCATCAGCTCCCCAGTCAGTCTTGCTCATGCTGCTGTGGATAGCGATTGGGTAAATTCAGCAAGGCTGAGCTGGGGCTGCCCTTCAAGGTTAATTCAACTCACATTACACTGCCTCAGCACTTTCTGTTTGTCTGAGGCAAATTTACCCTTTAGGAGAAGCTTGCACACAAAGGGCAGGTGCATTCACTAATGTGAGGGCACAGTGGAATCCTTTGAACAGCAGGAGCTGTGTACAGAGAATGAGTAAGAAACCGGATAGAGTTGCTGATGCAAAATTGTTTTAGCTCATTCTGTGGTCAAAACTGGAATCTCACTTGCTGCTTGCTCCCTCCACACCAATTCCTCCTGTTTAATATTAGCCTTCTGGAGACACCCTATACTGTCATCTCTCAGGCATCCAGTGGGAACCCAAGGGAGGAGGTTCAGCTTTAAGGAATGCCATGTTTCCCTTACAAATGCAGAAACTTAACTATCTACGCCCCATAGAGCTATCAGGGAAAGTTTAAACTTCTCTGTCAAGCTGTTGTTCTTGGCTCATGTTTTCATAAAAAACTGTTTTCCTCATCACAGTTCACTTACTGTTTGACATACATTCACTCAGTCTGAAGAAATGTTTTTGCATCTTGCTTTGTCAGCATCAGCTATTTGCAAAGCAGCTGACACAGAAGTCCTGCTCTTTGTGTTTTTCTTTCCATTTGTAAGAAATAGAAAAAAAAAGCTACAAAGCTCAGTCTTTGTAAACAGAGAGCACAGCAACATGTTTCTTATACGAAATAGATTGATAACAAGAAAACCTGTAATATTGGCCTTTGTAAAACAGAGCACAGCTGCCATAGCCTGGGACACGTTGCTTTCAAGTTTTCAAACTGAAGGTGTGGAATGACTGCACCACGAGGGCCCTGGAAGACAGCCCAGCAGCACAGCCAGCAGAAACACACCAGCACGAAGCTGCATGAGCAGAATGCACAGCTCTGGACGTCCAGCTTTGTCTGACAGCAACATGCCCAGAGATCAGTCGACAAGCCAGCGTAGGTCTCTATTTTTATAAAGGAGTGTTTACCTCTATAAAGGAAACAGCACTGTATCACCTTACCCTGTCTCTCTGCTCTGCTCTTTTGCTAATCCAGGCCTTTCAGCCACTACTAAAGCTTCTTCTCCTTCAAGGCCTTTCCCTCCTCAGGCTGTGCAGTCTTCCAGCCCCACAGCTCTCCCCGTCTGATGCAGCCCACCCTTACCAAGGCTTTGCCACACGCCAGCAGCTGCTGCGAGCCCCAGAGCCACCCTGTGATGGGCCCTGAAAGGTCCTCTTGCACACCTGAACCTGTGGTAGGCATGAAACCACCTCCACGCACACTGCGTCCTCTGACAGGTCTGAAGCTCACACACACACCTGTACCCCACAGGCTGCCTTTCCTCACACAGCTGGGCCTATAAGCCTGACACCCCCTTCCCCCCACTTTACAGCCTGCCTTTACTCACACATACACCTGCCTCCCCGCAGTGGCCCAGAGCCCCCCTCCTCGCACACCTCACCCCTTACAGCCCTCCCCTTCCTCACACACCTGGCCCTA